AAAAAAAAAATTGTTGAAGAATCAGCCTACACTAGTCTTCAGCTACTTGACCAGCTTACGGATGTTAAAGCAGATGGAATTAGAAAATGTGAAAACCATTCTGAATGACAGGTATTCTGAGGTATCTTGAAACCATGTAACTGGGAATTTCAGAATTATTTTCAATGTTTTGATCGCCTCCTATCTGTGAACGAGAATAATGGGCCCAACAATGATGTCAACATTGTGATGTGGGAAATTATTTAAACTATCCCCCATTGCTTTCACAACACTGACAACACTATTGACTTTTGTGACTGCAGGGGGGCACAGAACTGAAAATGGAACAGGGCACTCCTAAGTAACTTGACAATCTGCAGTAGATTCATCAAGACAAAATTAATAGAGATAATGTAGATACCGAATTGTTGATGTGAAATAACAGGTGGAGAATGAGATTAGGGGTGCTTTGAGTACCAACGTAACAAGAATTGAACCAATAATTTTGCAGCTTGTTAATGGGGGAAAAAAAAGGAATATTAAATTTTGAATAGAAATTTGTTAAGAATTTGATTAAACTTAAGAGCTTGGTTCTTCATTTAATTTAAGTATTTCATGATTTACATTATTTATTGTGGTAAATTTTAATTTTCACTCACCTTCGCCACTGCTATAGTACAGGCCACTGTAGCTATTTGGGGAAAAAAGGTTGCCCACCTTTTTTCAGATTTTTTTTTTTCTCCCAGAAGTACTGCAATTCGGGGTTCTGGGGGAGGGGGCAGGGTAGTAGTTCCTTTTCAGTCTGCCCTTATGCCTTATGGCAGCATAGTTGTTCTTTTCTTACCGATTGTCCCGACCCAGGCTGAAAAATCAAGCGGGTAATCATGTTCATTCCACCAGGTTTGGTAACCAGGAATCCTGGAGGGTTAAGAACAGACACTACATCCTGACCTTAGCCAACGGGTCGAGAAGCAATCAGACTTGTGGGTCTCTCTGTCATAAATTGTTCTTTTCTTTAATCTTACTTAATGATCGTCCCGACCCAGGCTGAAAAATCAAGCGGGTAATCATGTTCATTCCACCAGGTTTGGTAACCATTTTTAGTATTTCATGATTTACATTATTTATTGTGGTAAATTTTAATTTTCACTCACCTTCGCCACTGCTATAGTACAGGCCACTGTAGCTATTTGGGGAAAAAAGGTTGCCCACCTTTTTTCAGATTATTTTTTTTTCTCCCAGAAGTACTGCAATTCGGGGTTCTGGGGGAGGGGGGGGGGCAGGGTAGTAGTTCCTTTTCAGTCTGCCCTTATGCCTTATGGCAGCATAGTTGTTCTTTTCTTACCGATTGTCCCGACCCAGGCTGAAAAATCAGGCGGGTAATCATGTTCATTCCACCAGGTTTGGTAACCAGGAATCCTGGAGGGTTAAGAACAGACACTACATCCTGACCTTAGCCAACGGGTCGAGAAACAATCAGACTTGTGGGTCTCTCTGTCATAAATTGTTCTTTTCTTTAATCTTACTTAATGATCGTCCCGACCCAGGCTGAAAAATCAAGCGGGTAATCATGTTCATTCCACCAGGTTTGGTAACCAGGAATCCTGGAGGGATAAGAACAGGAATCCTGGAGGGATAAGAACAGACACTACATCCTGACCTTAGCCAACGGCCAACGGGCCGAGAAGCAATCAGACTTGTTGGCTGTTGGGCACTTATTTGTCCTTTTCTTACCGATCGTCCCGACCCAAGCTGAAAATCAAGCGGGTAATCATGTTCGTTCCACCAGGTTTGGTAACCAGGAGGGGGAAGAACAGACACTACATCCTGATCTTAGCCAAGGGGCCGAGAGGCGATCAGATTTTTTGTCTGGGCTTATTTAGCTAATCTTGTTGCCGAACTATGTTGAATGTATTGGGGAATAAGAAAATAACAAGCAAAACAATGTGGGCCTACACTGTATCCGGTCTACAAAAGAGTTGAGGTTTCGCTAGTTACCAAGCCAATAGTAACAATTTGTCTACTTGTAAAACTCTTTTTCTTTTTTTACTCACCATATTTCAGTGCAATCCTATATTATATAATACACAATGTATATAGCTTAAAATTAAACAAACCTTAATAACAAAGTTTTTCGTAAAAATCTTTTACATGCATTTTTTTATTATTTTATATTAATATTCTATTTCCCACCCGCTTTTACACAGAAGATTTAATCAGGCCCGTTCTGAGGTATACGCTGACTACGTATCCGCGTAGGGCC